CCCAGCTACTCAGGAGGCTGAGGCAGGAGAATCGCTTGAACCCAGGAGGCGGAGGTTGCAGTGAGCTGAGATTGTGCCGCTGCACTCCAGCCTAGGCAATGAGTGAAACTCTGTCAAATAAATAAACAAAAAAATAAAACATCAGTATGAAAGAAAAATTAACTTATCAAAGAAAACAGAGAAGTCCAAGATGAGTAAGAATCAGATCTGAAGATCTAAAAGGAAAAACACATTGATATCAGAGACTATTTGTTCTCAATACCCTTAATGTGGATCAGTACACCCATTAGCTGATCTGCTAGTTAAATCAACATTCAATCCTTATTTATTTAAAATATCTCTGTACTGTTATTGAAGTACTTTCCTCCCCTACAAGGGTAATAGAATTTACCAACATAGTAAATTATTTGTTTTTAAAGTCTAAGTAGGCCAGCTTTGGTGGCTCACGCCTGTAATCTCAGCACTTTGGGAGGCCAGGACGAGCCCAGGAGTTTGGAACCAGTCTGAGCAACATGGCAAAACCTCATCTTTATGAAACACAAACAGAAAAAATTAGCCAAGTGTGGTGGTGCACACCTGCAGTCCCAGCTACTCAGGAGGTCGAGGTGGGAGGATCACCTGAGCCCCCTGGGGATGTCGAGGCTACAGTGAGTAATGATCAAGCCATTGCACTCCAACCTGGACAACAGAGCCACATCCTGTCTCAAAATAAATAAATAAGTAAATAAAAAGTCTAAAGGAACCAGTTGTTTTAAAAATCTTAGTTAATGGTCAAAGTATGCCTTAGGCCTGCAAAATGCAATGTAAATAATTAAAAATAGACTTACTTTCAGTTTTATGTAAAATCAAAATTCTACATTACCATCTTCTGATTATGACTTGTGTAAGCGCACTCTGATGAGTTTATGTAGTCTAGTGTACAGGAGAATTAGGTCCAACATTTACTACTGAGAATAGCATGAACTGGCATAAACTCCAGTCTTACTAACCCATCTCATGTGTTATTATCACTCAGTATAAATGACTGTAGAAAAATAATAGAAGATACCATAATATCCATACATTTACAGAAGCAGTAATTGTAGCCTCCCGTTAATGTCACATTCTATCCTTATGCTCTGCTCACATCCTTACCCACAGTATGTTAGAAATATCTTTCAGCAATACTTATACACTGTTAGTGGGAGTCTAAATTAGTTTAACCATTGTGGAAGACAGTGTGGTGATTCCTCAAAGACCTAAAGACAGAAATACCATTTGACCCAGTAATTTCAGTACTGTGTATATACCCAAAGAAATATAAATCATTCTATTATACAGACACATGCATCCGTATGTTCGTTGCAGTACTATTCACAATGGCAAAGACATGAAATCGACCTAAATGTTCATCAGTGATAGAAGAATGGATAAAGAAAATGTGGTATATATACTCCATCGAATATTATGCAACCATGAAAAAGAACAAGATCATGTCCTTTGCAGGGACATGGATGGAGCTAGAGGCCATTATCTTTAGCAAACTAACGCAGGAACAGAAAACCAAATACCCCATGTTCTCATTTATAAGTGGGAGCTAAATGATGACAACACATGCACACACAGAGGGGAACAACACACACCAGGGCCTTTCAGAGGGTGAATGGTGGGAGAAGGGACAGGATCGGGAAAAACAACTGATAGGTACTAGGCTTAATACCTGAGTGATGAAATAATCTGTACAACAAACCCCCATGACATAAGTTTACCTGTGTAACCAACCTGCACTTAAAAGTTAAAAGTTAACAGACAAACAAACAAATGTACCTTTGAAAGCATCACGGGGATTCCCTGCTAAAGAATTCTTTTATGGGCTGGGCATGGTGGCTCACTCCTGTAATCCTAGCACTTTGGGAGGCCGAGGTGGGTGGATCATTTGAAGTCAGAAGTTCGAGACCAGCCTGGCCAACATGGAAATCCCGTCTCTACTAAAAGTACAAAAATTAGCTGGGCATGGTAGTGCATGCCTGGGAAAGAATCTGTACAAACAAACTCCTCATGACACAAGTTAACCTATGTAACAAACCTGCGCTTGTACCCCTGAACTTAAAATAAAAGTTAAAACAAACAACAAACAAACAAACGTATCTTTGAAAGCATCACAGGGATTCCCTACTAAAGAATTCTTTTATGGGCCAGGCATGGTGGCTCACTCCTGTAATCCTAGCACTTTGGGAGCCTGAGGCAGGCAGATCACTTGAGGTCAGGAGTTCAAGACCAGCCTGACCAACATGGTGAAAACCCATCTCTATTAAAAATACAAAAATAAGCTGGGCGTGGTGGTGCGTGACTATAATCCCAGCTACTCAGGAGGCTGAGGCAGGAGAATCACTTGAACCAGGGAGGCGGAGGTTGCAGTGAGCCAAGATTGCCCTGCTGCACTCCAGCCTAGGTAACAGAGCAAAACTCCATATCCAAAAAAAAATAATAATAATTCTTTTACTTACCATCCTTTAATTTTTCTGTAAATATAACATTTCTTGTGCAGGAGAACTTTTACAGGAACCCAGATCAGTAGAGTCACTAACGCAACATAGGCAATAGAACAGGAGACGATCAGCCAGTAAGGTGTGTTATCAGATCTAGCCATTGCTCCCTGGTAGGCGGTGGCAAACTGTTCCGTGATCACCAGTGTGGGGATGGAGAAAGCAGCAAACTCTAGGACCTCAAAAACCACGAACTTAATGAGCCTTCCAGAAGCCATCCCGAGGAAAGGCAAGCTGCCAAGGACCTGGGACTCCCTCTTTGACTGTGGGCAGCATACGGACCCACAGATACTGAACTGGGATCAAGTTCCTTGTCCTCGGATCGCTAACCAGTGACTTTTTATTCTTTTATTGACCCTCACATGGTTCAATGATCTCCTAACTTAACAACCGTGGTCTCTTAAAGGAACAGGGCCATTGTGGAAGTGATCACTCAACATATTTGCACATCCATTATTAGAAGTCAAATGAACTTTAGAGCATGCCTCAAAGCACGAGTAAAAGCAGGGTTTTAAAAAGGTGTTTATTGCTAATATTAGCACAAAACCATTTGTGTAATAGTCAACTCTTGTTAAGTAAAACTGCTGGAATAATGTAATTTTAGAGTTAAAGGAGAATAGATAGAATCCAACTCTCTATTTTCACATAAAAGCAAATTCAGGCAAAGGGAGATACTCAAACCCAAGTCTTCATCTTGGAAAACCACCCCTCCCTTTCAAGTGCTTGCAAAGGGAGTCTGAATTCACTTTATCAACTTTCTAACCAGGATTCTCCCTCATACTTAAGATATTCATTCATTATTGCGCATTAGTTGCCATATAACACAGATTAATGCTATTTTTGTTTTGCTGCCCAGCAAACTGAAATGATGACATTAGAAGCCTGTTATCAGGATTTACACATTAATAGCTATCTGTGACTGGCTTAAACGCATATCAAATATTTGAAGGATGACAATTGTCTCCATGAATATCCTTCCTTCGAAAAACATACTTAAGACCGGGCACAGTGGCTCACACCTGTAATCCCAGCACTTTGGGAGGCCGAAGCGGGCAGATCACCTGAGGTCAGGAGTTCAAGACCAGCCTGAACATGGTGAAATCCTGTCTCTACTAAAAAATACAAAAATTAAGGCCAGACACAGTGGCTCACGCCTGTAATCCCAACACTCTGGGAGGCTGAGGCAGGCAGATCACCTGAGGTCAGGAGTTCGAGATCAGCCTGACCAACATGGTGAAACCCCATCTGTACAAAAAAAAAAAAAAAATAGACAGGTGTGGTGGTGCATGCCTGTAATCCCAGCTACTTGGGAGGCTGAGGCAGGAGAATCACTTCAACCTAGGAGGCTGAGGTTGCAATGAGCCGAGATCATGCCACTGCACGCCAGTCTGGGTGACAAAGCAAGACACCTTCTCAAAAAAAAAAGAAAAGCATATTTGAGCACTTACAATGAGCATTTTAGTATGTGTGAGGGTATGAAGATGAATGAATGACAGAAGTTCCTGCTCTGAAAGTGCTTGAGGTCCAATGGAGGCGATAAACTGAGGAACCACAACAAAAATAACCGAGGTCAGAAGACTGTAAACGAAGTGCTACAGGGACACAGGTGAACTGCACCTTGCCTCACCTTGGGGTTGTGGGAAGAGGATGGGCACATAAGCACGGTCAGGATGGACAGGGGCACTGTGGTGTCGGTGACATTTCAGACACAGCCAAGGAGGCTGCAGTGGTTAGTGAGAATCTGGTGTGGCACAGCAGGAAACAGGAGGAGGCAATGTTAGAAAAATAGTTTGGGGGCCAGGTGGGGTGGCTCATACCTGTAACCCCAGCACTTTAGGAGGCCAAGGTGGGTTGATAGCTCGAGGAGGCCAGAAGTTTGAGACCAGCCTGGGCAACATGGTGAAACCTCTTCTCTACAAAAAATGCAAAAAATTAGCCAGGCACAGGGTCGCATGCCTATGGTCTCAGTGACTCTGGAGGCTGAGGTGGGAGGACTGCTTGAGCGTGGGAGTTTGAAGTTGCAGTGAACTGTGATCGTACCACAGCACTCCAGCCTGAGCAACAGAGCGAGACCCTACCTCAAAACAACAACAACAAAATAGGTTGCGGTAAGAATGTTGTGTCCCATTAAGGATTCAGGCAGGGGGTGTAGCCAGCAGTGAAAAAGCAAAGTTTTCTGAACACAGCATCCTTTGGTCATCTGGAAAGGAGGCTCGATGCTGATGTGGAGAAAGGACAGAGCAGTGCTACCCTGGAGGCAGGAGGCCAACTGGGAACCAGAGAGGAGCCTGGGCTAGAGGTAAGAGCCCCCCAGCCAACACAAATGGAGCGGGAGTGATGAAGGGGCGTCACACCAGCAGACATTGAGCCCCGTCCCTTCTGTGGCCCTCCCTGTGCCTGCTGTCACACTGATGCAGACCCATATTTCTCTAGGCTTCTCTTTCTCAAGGTCCTCGGCAGAAGGGGCCTTGGGCTGCTGGAGTTCCAGGGTGCATCGGAGGCTCCTGGTGTGGCTCTCAGGATTGATGCTTTCTGCCCTCCCACTGCCAGACAATTAGTCAGCTGATTCTTCAAGCCATCTAGTTATTTTATTTGAACTTGGATTTTGAATCCATTGAAGTTTAGCAGAAATTCTTTCAAGCCAAAGAAGAGACTTGGAAGAACAGTGATAAAATATGAAAGGATGGGGTGGAGGCCCATCTGAGCAGCAGTTCTGTTGTCAACTACTTTTTTTTTTTTTTTTTTTTTTTGAGGTGGAGTCTTGCTCTGTCACCCAGGCTGGAGTGCAATGGCGTGATCTCAGTTCACTGCAACCTCCGCCTCCCGGGTTCAAGCGATTCTCCTGACTCAGCCTCCCAAGTAGCTGGGACTTCAGATGTGCACAACCACGCCTGGCTAATTTTTGTATTTTTAGTAGAGACAGGGTTTTGCTATGTTGCCCAGGCTGGTCTTGAACTCCTGACCTCAGATGATCCATCTGCCTCGGCCTCCCAAAGTGCTGGGATTACAGGTGTGAGCCACTGCACCCAGTTGCCAACTACTTCTAACAACTTACCATTGACATCAATGGTCAGTATCATTCCTGATGAAAATCCTATTTAAATGATACTGGATATGAATTATATTTTAACCTCCTAACACTCCATCTTGAGTCACTAGCGCTCTGTTGAATCATAACATCTGCTACACATTTTGTGTATGAATAGGAATTATTGAACATTTGAAGAGAGTTATTGAATAGCTTGACTCTTGAGAAAGAAGTCTCTTACCCGGGTCTATAATTCCATTTTGAATGCTCAATTTTTATTTCCATTTATAAGAATTTAAAACTGACACTAGCTTTCTATTTCTCACCTGTGACTTTCCTCTGGTTCATAATCTTCCTCCACCTTTATTTTTTAATTTTTTGAGACAGAGTCTCGCTCTGTCGCCCAGGCTGGAGTGCAGTGGTACGATCTCGGCTCACTGCAACCTCTGTCTCCTGGGTTCAAGTGAATCTCCTGCCTCAGTCTCCCTAATAGCTGGTACTACAAGCACCCACCACCACACCTGGCTAATTTTTGTATTTTTAGTAGAGGCGAGGTTTCCCTCTATTAGCCAGGCTGGTCTCAAACTCCTGGCCTCAAGTGATCCACCCATCTCGGCCTCCCAAAGTGCTGGGATTACAGGCGTGAGCCACTGCTTCTGGTCACCTTTACCTTTAAAGATGACCCCAAGAATGTTAGCATTCATGTGACATGACCTGTGACCAATGTTTTCTACCTCCTGGAATGCTCTGGTCACTGGCTGTGGTTTCTTTAGGAGAAAGGCTGTGATTCTCACTTTCTGCCCGCCACGAGCCCAACTCCATGTAAAGAAACAATTGAGTGTGTCCACATTGTCCTTTGAACACTTCCTGCGTGCAGATCCTGGCCGTCCCTGTTAACTGACGCTCTGCTTAGGAATTTAACACAAGTGCCCCGCAAAGACCCGAGGACGTTGTTGGAGTAAGTACACTGGGCAAGTTAGGGCTAGGAAGGGTGACCTACCCACAGTCCATCTCCCTTCTCCAGCCACATCTTCTTGAATGAATGGGTCCTGGGCCATAGAGTGTCCAGCCATCTAAGTGTAGCCTGGCACAAACCAGGTCAATTGGATTCTCACCCTTAGGAATTTGAACTCAGAAACATGGGGAGAATTTGGTAAGTGGAGCAAAAGAAGGTCATGAGTTTGAGTCAGAATTAGAGCAAGCCAAACTCTACGGGCTGGAACCTCCACTCCTGGCATGTTGTCAATTCTATCTGATGAATGAACAAATAGAAGCCAGGCGGTGAGGGAATAGAAGAGTGAGTTGAGCAAGGAACCTGGGAGTGAGAAGGTTAGGACAGATCAACAGGGAGAAGCAATCGTACCAAGAAAGACCAGTCTTTACAGGCGCCTGAGCTGTTGAACCTTGCAGCTCACATGTGTCCTTACAAAAGGTGGTCTTTGTTCTTTGCAAGAGAAAGGGCTTGAGAAAAAGACAAAGGAGCAGAGGCCAAATACCACTCAGAAACCCCATGGAAAATCACCAGAAAATACAGGAGAAAGGATGGAAAAAACTCAGAGTTAATCAGAGAAGGCTTCTCACAGGAGGGAAGCTTTGTATCACTCTTTCTGTTGACTCAAAGCGGTAGCTGTATACCGCTACAGCAATTTTCTCTGCATAGTGTAATAATATTTCCTTTGAAAAATTGTTCTGGCTGGGTGCAGTGACTCACACCTACAATCCTAGCATTATGGGAGGCCAAGGTG